CTACGTCTCGGGAAGCTCAGCGATTGGCTGGCAGGGCCCATGCTCCTGCCGCCCCGCCTCCCTCCGCTCCACGACTGCTAGGCGTTAATGGTCGCCAGGGAAGCGAGGCGCCTTTCTGATTGGCTGGAGGCACTCAGGCCGGGGCCGCCTCCACTGCCCGCCTGCGGGAGTGAGTGGGAGGGAGGTGCCGGAGTCTCCCCGCGAGCCCGGCCAGTGCTTTCAAAACTTTTCCCGCCCCCACTTGCTCGCCATTACCTGGCCCAGGGGTCTAAGGACGGGCATCCGCTCCCCCCAGGTGCACGGCGCACGGTCGCGCCCGCGGAGTAGAGACCCCTTTCTTTTCCACCGCCCCGCCGCTCCCCCAGTTGGCCGCTACAGCCTGAGCTAGGCCAATCCGAAGCCAGCAGCTAGGAGTTTCTTCTGAGTCTCCCACGCGGGTGCAGGGGTTCAAGCACTTGGGCCATCTGCTGCTTTCCCAGGAGCATGAGCAGGGAGCTGGATCAGAAGTGGAGCAGCCGGGACCCGAATCAATGCCCATAAGGGATACTGGCTTCGCAGGCAGCAGCTTTTCCCACTTTATCACAACACTGGCCCCAGCTGTGTGTGTTTTTTTTGTTTGTTTGTTTTTGTTTTGTTTTGGTTTTTTTTAGGATTTATTTATTTTCTTATTTGAAAGGGTGAGAAAGAGAGAAACTTCCATCCAGTTCACTCTCCAAAAGGCCACAACAGCCAGGGCTGGGGTTCTGACCTCCATCTGGGTCTCCATGTAGGAGGCAGGAATCCAGGTACTTGGGTCACCTGCTGCTGCCTTCCTAGGCACATTAGCAGGAAGCCGAGTTGGAAGTGGAGAAGCCAGGACTTGAGCCGGCGCTCCATCATGGGATGTGTGTGTCCCAAGCATAAGCCCCATAGCTATATTGCTAAAAGATACCCTATGTGAGTCCATGGCACAGAGGCCTTAGTTTGAAAATGCTGCCATAGCGCAGGTTTTAATTTCTTTGGGTCATAAACATCTTTGTGTGTTCTATTCCTAAAAAGACACACATACATAAACATTCCAAAGAATCCTAAAAGTCTTGGGAGCAAAGTCAATTCCCACCCTTAATTTAAAAAAAAAGGATTTATTTTATTTATTTGAAAGAGTTACAGAGAGAGAGGTCTTCTATCCACTGGTTCACTCCCCAAGTGGCCGCAACAGCAGGAGCTTGAGCCAATCTGAAGCCAGGAGCTTCTTCTGGGTCTCCCATGTGGGTGCAGGGGCCCAAGGAGTTGGGCCATCTTCTGCTGCTTTCCCAGGCGCATTAGCAGGGAGCTGGATCGGAAGTGGAGCAGCCGGGGCTCAAACCGGTACCCATATGGGATGCCAGCACTGGAGGCAGCAGCTTTACCCACTACACCACAGTGCTGCCCCCATTCCCACTCTTATTTTAATTGGCTTGGACAAGCTAGGGATGTCCCATGTGACCATGGCCTTGACATCTCATTCGACCAATGCACCAGTAAAAGCCAACCCTTCTTCCTGGCTTCTGTGGCAGCCGAGAGAAGGTGGGAGTCCTACCTTGGGTGTGTGTATCCCTTACCAAGAAAGGAGGCCCTGAAGATGGAGTGCAACTGGGGCTTTCGTGACACCAAGAAGTGAAGTGGTGGACAGCTGGGTCATTAGGGCAGGAAGCTGAGCAGTTGGATCTGCTTCCAGGCCCCAAGCAAATCTTGGGAACTTCAAAGCGCTCAGTGAGATCACTAAGTAGTCATTAGGGCACCTTTAATAGGCGAGCCCAGGGCAAGGTCCAGCCCTGGCTTTGAGTCTGAGCTGAGAACTCTCGTTGCAAGCCAGGCTTCCCGGGGCAGCGCTGAGGGTCATGGGAGGGGCTGGCGCTGTAGACTGGGAATTAAGAGCTGGTACAAAGGTGCCGCCAAGTCGTCTCTTCTCACCCTATTTTCCCTGGCGATAAGGTGGCCACAGGAGCCGGTCCTTCCTAGACAAAGCTCAGGGTGAGAGGCCGTGGGGTGGTCAGATGTGAAGACTGGGTTGGAATGCAGGTTTTCTCCCCGTTAGGTTTTTTAACCGTGACCGAGAACGACAGCCAAGACCACCACGCTGAGCAAGGAAAAGTTTATTAGGGCAAAGAACTGCCGGGAGCAGCCTCAGAGGGAGAGGAACTTGAGGCTTATGTGTAGGGCTGGGGTTTCATACTTGTGTCAAGCTCCCGTGAGACAGGACGCTTTTGACACGGGGAGTTTCTTGAGGCAGCCATGGGAACAGAGAGGCACAGACCTGCCTGATTTATAGCCAGGGCAGCTGTGGGAACGCAGAGGCACAGAACGTTTTCTGAGGCCTGATTCGTAGCTGGGACAGTTACGGGAACAGCGAGGCTCTCCGGGAGCGCGCCGCCTCTGTGTTTTGTTTTTTCTGACCCCAGGGAAGAGTGAGGGGTGGGGGGTGGAGATGTCTCGGCCCTGTGTGGATTCAGGGTTCCCACACTCCCTTTTTCTGTAGAAGTTTCTCTAAGCTGATAACCCTTCCTAAGACAGGCGGGACACAGGGCCAAGACGGATGAACAGGAGGAATGCACCGGGCAGCCGAGGACCTAAGCCCCTGCTACTGTTGAGGGACAGCGGCCCAGAGGCAGGACAGTCTCTGCCCACACCCGGCTGCTACCAGCAGCTGGACAAGGCTGCACTGTGCCCATGAGGGGATGAAGGTGGATGGATAATGGAGTCACAGCATGACAGGGGAGGGATTGGGAACACAAATGCATGCCCCGCCGGGCTCCAAATCTAACCTCAAACGCTCCTCCTGGTCTGGGCACCCCCACCATGATAGTGGCTACTCAAGAGTGGAGCTGGGGGCCAGCGCTATGGCATGGCGGGTAAAGCCGCCACCTGCAGTGCCAGCATCCCATATGGGTGCCCTTTCAAGTCCCGGCTGCTCCACTTTTGATCCAGCTCTCTGCTATGCCTGGGAAAGCAGTAGAAGATGGCCCAAGTCCTTGGGCCCCTGCACCCACGTGGAAGACCAGGAAGAAGCTCCTGGCTCCTGGCTTCAGATCAGCACAGCTCCAGCCATTGCAGCCATTTGAGGAGTGAACCAGCAGATGGAAGATATCTCCCTCTCTCTCACTCTCTCTCTCTCTCTCTCTGCATCTCCTTCTCTCTCTGTGTAACTCTTTCAAATAAATAAATACATCTTAAAAAAAAAAAAAAGAGTGGAGCTGCCAGCTTTGCCTTCCCTTGCAGGTGGGGTTCTCCATTGCCCGGGTCTGTTATGTGGCTGCGTCGTCCGATCCCACCAGGCTGGGCCGTCCCAGTGGGGTTCACCCCGAGTGTTCAAGGGTGCAGACAGACGCTGCCTCCAGAGCCCTGGTGGAGATGCTGGCAGACAGCAGTCGTGACAATGCACCCTGGAGTCTCACTGTGTGACATTGGACGGCCTGCCTTTCCTAGTCTGGGTGTCCCCAGCTCTCCTTTATTCAATTAATGTAAAAGCCAGAAAAGCTACGGTCGCCTTCAACTTCAACAGGTCATCAGGCTTTCTTGGCTGTGTCCAGGATGGCTGAGGGGCACCAGGGTTCCCAGGCAGGCCCAAGGAGGATGGGGGGGGTGGCGTCCCCGAGCCTGGCACACATCCCACTTGGTGCGGGATTCAGTCCTGATAGGGTTTCCTTTCCTAGGCAGGCCTGAGGGTGACATGAGCTGCTGCACAGGACGCACACCAGAAAACGCACCGAGGCACAGATCTGAGGCACACAGCCTGCTTTTACTTCTCGTGGGCAGCCTTGCCCACACCCACGAATGCTATCCCGGTGCTCAGCCAGCTCCTGCGACTACGGACACCCAGCAGGTCAGACAGAGAGGTGGAAAATACAAGGCCAGCTGTTGCTCAGGAGGGGCCCTGGTGAGTGGGGACCTCTGGCTCTGGTTCCAGCACCCCCCCAACTGATGAGGGGTTAGGGGGAGCCGCTGTTCCGTTCCTGCCAGCCGTGGTTCCGTGGGAGCAGAGGTCGAGTTGCCAACCTTTGGGTTTCTCCAGAGAAGCCAGAAACCTCGGTTCTTGTATGAAATACCCAACTCGGAATCTCAACCACTCCTTCCTGAAGTTTAAACTACTGCCTGGGCCAAAATAAATAAATAAATAATAAATAAATAAACGAGGCGGCCGTGGGCCAGGGTCGGTGCGCGGCCATCCATTCGTCACCTGCGCAGTACAAAGACGACAGGTAAAGGGGGTTCTCCTTCACCTCGATGCTCCTAACGCTTCTGACAGCTTTTCTCCCCAGGGGGCAGAGCGGGCTTGGGGGGTCTTACCTCACCCCTGCCTCAGCAACAGGGTGGGCTTCTAGAGTCTGCAACAGCGGGGAGCAAGGTGAAGTTGAAGCTGTTGGAGCTGCCCAGGGCCAAGGACAGCCTCAGCCTCTGGGAGCTCCCTAGAGGCCCCGCCCCCTGCAGCTGGTCAGGCCCTTGAGCCCACCCGGGACCCCGGTCAAGGTCTAGATCATCTCTGTCTGCCTTGTTATTCTGAAGGCCATCACCCACACTCCTGGAATATCTCTGGGTAGTGCTGGAAGCCCACAGGAGGATCCAAGTCCCCAGAGCCAGAAGCCAGGGACACAGACAGCCCACGGGCACCCTGGCCCCTGGGGGCCCCAGCTCCCGGCCGATGGACCCACTGGTGCTTGGCCATAGCTGACTTCTGACCGAAGCACCTGCCGCACTGAGGACAGGGGTAAGGGCGCTCGCCACTGTGGGTCCGCCTGTGGGCTGCCATTTCGGAGCTCTGCCGGAAACAGCGCCCGCAGTCCGGGCACGGGTAGGGCTTCTCGCCGGTGTGGGTGCGGACGTGGCGCCGCAGGTCCGAGGCGTGCGCGAAGGCGCGGCCGCAGTGGGCGCAGGGGAAGGGGGTCTCGCCGCTGTGCACGCGCTGGTGCTGGTAGAGGGCGGAGCTCTGGCTGAAGCAGCGGCCGCAGTCAGCGCAGCGGTAGGGCTTCTCGCCCGTGTGCACCCGCAGGTGCGTGGTGAGAGCCGAGCGCTGGGTGAAGGCCCGGCCGCAGTCCGGGCAGCGGTGGGGCCGCTCGCCGCGGTGGATGGCCCGGTGCTTGCTCAAGGAGGACGCCTGGCCGAAGCCCTTGCCGCAGTCGGGGCAGCGGAACGGCTTCTCCCCCGTGTGCGTGTACAGGTGCTCCACCAGCGTGGAGCGCCACGCAAAACTCTTCCCGCACAGGTAGCAGCCGTGGCGCTGGTCCGCTCGGGGGACAGGGGGGTGGGCACCGAGCGGAGGGCGGCCCCGGCGTGGCGGCTTGGACCGCTGCTCCGAGCCACAAGGAAGCCTAGCAGAGGGCGCTCGGGCAGCCTTCGGCCCGGTAGGCGGGGGATCCGCAGCAAGGGTCTTCTCCAGGGCTTCAGTCCTTTGCCCTCGTCCTCCCTCTTCCTGGTGTCTGGAATCTGCGGGAGACGAGGGGAGAGCTCAGGCTCTGGTTCAAACACCCGCGGCTGCCCTGGGATAGTGACATAAGGCGGAGGGGAGGGAACGGCTGAGTTCTGTCTCCGGGCTGGGACCCTGGCAGTGGGGTGGGGGGTTTGGGGGGTGGGGGGAGAAGGCAGCGGGAGAGACGACAAGGAGCTGGATGACAAGGGACTAAAGATGCTCCAGGCAAATGGGACCCCGGCATTGTCAAGTTCACTGGCGCTGGGCACTTCGCCAAGGTTGACAAGTTGAACCGAAGGAAGAAAACAATGGAAGCCCAGAGAAAGCGAACTATAGACTACACAGGGGTTGGTGGCAGAGCGGGGGATGGGAGGGTGCCATCAGCAGGTTTGCCACCAACTCTCCGTGAGGAGCTCAGAGGCGGCAGCCCAGCCCTCAACACGGCAGGAGTCGCTGTCACCGCCCCTCTCAGGGACCAGGCATCAGGGTCTGAAGCTGGGAAAGCAATTCAAGGAAGAAACTGCGAAGCAGGTGAGGGGGCTGGCAGACGGAGAGGGGTACCAAGAAGCCTCCAAGAGCCTGAATAGCAGATACCTCACCTGTGTCTGCTCCTGTCCCATACCCCCGGGCCGCTGCCGCCGCTGGATCCTGGGCATCCGGACCCCACAGCTCGGCGTCTCGCTCCACCCAGCAGATGAGCGCTGGCTTGGTGCCTCCGCCTCCTGGAGAGGGGGAAACCAACGCAAACCCCATGCTCCGGGTCCGACTGCCCGGACCTAGGGCGTCCCCCGCCCACGTGTAGAACCCCCAGTAACGGGGCAGCGGGGAGGGCGACGGGGTCCCCGAGGAAGGGGCGAGGCGGGTAGGGCTCTCACCGAGCGCGCCCAGGAGGCCGTAGGTCTCCCGCATCACTTCCCGGTACAGGGCCCGCTGCGCCGGCCGCAGACACCCCCACTCCTCCGGGGAGAAGTACACGGCCACGTCCGCGAAGCTCACAGCCGCGGGCTTCCTGCACTGGGGCCCGGCCCCGTTTGGCTCCCGGACGGGGAGCGGGGCCAGAGGTGGCGCCATGGAAACTGCAAGCCCCGGCCACCGGCCAGCCGCCTCCCCTGGCCGGGCCTGTCCGTGCGGAGCCTCCGCGGCTCGAGAACGCCTCCCGAGCCCAGGGGCCTTAGAGCGGGACGACGGGCATTAGGACCGCGAAGGAACAGGAATCGGCCTCTCGAGGGCCTGCTAGAGTGGCCGAAAACCACGAGCCGGTGGCTGCGCGTACATGACCACGACTAGAAAGAAACTGCCCTCAACAAAAATGGCGGAAACGCGGCCTCCCGTACTTTGCTCCTATACAGCCAGGCCCACGTCTACGCCAGACGGGAGTGTATGGGGGCGCTTTGTCTCCGTGCCCTGACTCAAAATGGCCGCGCAGGCTACAAGGGCCAGGCTAAGGCCCTCCGCGCGCCCCCCGGGCCCGGCCCCCAAAGGCTGCGCCCTCGAAAGCTGGCGCGGGAAGTGGAGTCTTAGCCCAGCCCAGGTCCGGGAACAAAGAAGCCCAGGGGAAAGGTGAACGCGGGCTGGGCTTTGTTAATTGGGACGTTAGCTTCGGCCCTGGGCCTCCACCTGCCTCACTGCACAATGTCCCACAAGCACCAGGGTGCATGGACCCCAGCCCTAGCTCTCCCAGTCTTCTGAGCCTCGGAAGAACCCAAGAAAACATTGAAAGCTTCCCTCTTGAGAGTCATGGTGTTTGTCACCTGTGTCCACCCCTTGGGGCAGTGCCCACCACCCGCAGGACCAGAACTCTGGCTAGTTCTGGAAGCTCTGGACCCCCCAGGGGAAGAACCCCCGTAGAATTCTCACTCTGGAGGCCAGTTGGCTGAAGCACCAGCCAGAGCAGGGAGCGGCCTCGGAGCAGGGGCATGCCTGGCTCAGCAGGAAGCATAAGCCATACTAGCTACAGGCAAGGGGTCACCCCCTGAGAACACTGGGCCAGGAGGAAGATCCTGGCAGGGAGTGACTGCATTTGGGACAGGTGTTGGCCTGGCCACGAGGAACCCTTCCCAGAGGCTCAGTGACAGGTGAGTAGTAGTTCACGACCAGTCCCAGGTATGCAAGAATGCTTGGCTGGCCTCTTCCAAACCTGTCATTTTTCTGAATGTTGTTGAGAAACAACACCTTCAAAACGTACCTCTGCCTCCGGAAGCTCCCCAAGGCCTATTCTCAAAGAGAAATCTATACATACAGTGGGTGTTAATGTATATTACAAAAAAAACTAGGGGGAGCCGGCGCCGCGGCTCACTAGGCTAATCCTCCGCCTAGCGGCGCCGGCACACCGGGTTCTAGTCCCAATCGGGGCGCCGGATTCTGTCCCGGTTGCCCCTCTTCCAGGCCAGCCCTCTGCTGTGGCCCGGGAGTGCAGTGGAGGATGGCCCAGGTGCTTGGGCCCTGCACCCCATGGGAGACCAGGAGAAGCACCTGGCTCCTGCCATTGGATCAGCGCGGTGCGCTGGCCGCAGCACACCAGCCGGCCACGGTGGCCATTGGAAGGTGAACCAACGGCAAAGGAAGACCTTTCTCTCTCTCTCTCTCTCTCTCTCTCTCTCACTGTCCACTCTGCCTGTCCAAAAAATAAAAAAATAATAAAAAAAAATAAACTAGGGGGAGGGTGTTGTGGTGCAGTGAGTGAACCCCATATCAAGAGTTCCAGCTGGGACCAGCACTGTGAGTAGTGGGTTAAAGCCCTGGCCTGAAGCACCCAAATCCCATATGGACGCCCGATCTAGTCCCGGCTGCTCCTCTTCCGATCCAGCTCTCTGCTGTGGCCTGGGAAAGCAGTGGAGGATGGCCCAAGTGCTTGGGCCCTGCACCTGCATAGGAGACCAGGAAGAAGTACCTGGCTCCTGGCTTCAGATCAGCGCAGCTCCAGTCGTTTTGGCCAATTGGGGAGTGAACCATTCAATGGAAGACCTCTCTCTCTCTCTCTCTCTCTCTCTCTCTGCCTCTCTCTGTAACTCTTTCAAATAAATAAAATAAATCTTGGGGGGGGGGAGTTCCATCTGCGCCGCCCTGGCAGGCAGCAGATGATGGCTCAAGTGCTTGGGTCACCGCCGTCCACATAGGAGACCCAGATGGAGCTTCCAGGCTCCTGGCTTCAGCCCAGCCCCGTCCTGGGTGCTGTGGGCATTTTGTGGGTGAACCAGCAGATGGAAGACCTGTCACTCTTGTTATCCTGCCTTTTAAATAGATGTAAAATAAACATTTAAGAAAGAAAAAAAAAACTAGTAATTTCACAATTCTTTTGCACCAACATAAATGTTATCTTTTTTTAATATTTATTTTTATTTGAGGGGCAGAGTTACAGACAGTGAGAGGGAGAGACAGAGGGAAAGGTCTTCCTTCCGTTGCTTCACTCCACTCCACAAATAGCCACAATGGCTGGAGCTGTGCTGATCCAAAGCCAGGAGCCAGGAGCTTCTTCCCGGTCTCCCACGTGGGTGCAGGGGCCCAAGGACTTGGGCCATCTTCTACTGCTTTCCCAGGCATAGCAGAGAGCTGGATTGGATGTGGAGCAGCTGGGACTAGAACGGGTGCCCATATGGGATGCGGGCGCCACAGGCAAAGGATTACCTACTGCAGCCACTGTGCCAGTCCCATAAATGTATCTTTTAATTCAATTTTTTCACAGACTTCCTGAAGCAACCTCACTTTTTTTTTTTTTTTTTTTTTTTTGACAGGCAGAGTGGACAGTGAGAGAGAGAGACAGAGAGAAAGGTCTTCCTTTGCCATTGGTTCACCCTCCAATGGCCGCCGCGGCTGGTGCGCTGCGGCCGGCGCACCGCGCTGATCCGATGGCAGGAGCCAGGTACTTATCCTGGTCTGCCATGGGATGCAGGGCCCAGGGACTTGGGCCATCCTCCACTGCACTCCCTGGCCACTGCAGAGAGCTGGCCTGGAAGAGGGGCAACCGGGACAGAATCCGGTACCCGGACCGGGACTAGAACCTGGTGTGCCAGCGCCGCAAGGCGGAGGATTAGCCTAGTGAGCCGCAGCGCCACAACCTCACATTTAAATATGAACCCTCACAACAGCAGCAGTGTTGAGTACCCAGTGTAATGCAATGAGAAGGCCATGCCAAAAATGGCTGATGGCAACAGAAACTGCCTGGCAACAGGCTGTGATTGGATGGCTTTGGAAACTGCCTGGCAACAGGCTGTGATTGGTTAGGGCACAGACTGCCCCTTGACTGGATTGGCTGCCTTGGCTATATAAGCTGCTGTAGCACCTGAAATCAACGGTTCTGCGGGCTGCTTGCCTCAGGCCTGCTTTCACCTGACTCCCGGGGTCTGGGGGTCTGTTTGGTGACTCCAGGCCTCTTGCCCCCACCACACTCCTCCTCTCAGAAACGAATCCACTGCAACATCTGGCGTGCCAACGTGACTGAGAGAGAGAGAGACAGCGTGTCGGACTCGGCAAGGTCCCCCCTTAATTTCGGCAAGAAGGCCCCTCAGTGTTTTGTGTGCTGTTCGGTTCTGTGAGGGTGAGCACAGAACCCCCTCCTACGCCCCTTTCCTTGTCCTTGTCTTGGTCTAAGTGACCCCAGGTTAGGCACACACCGACCAGAAGTGTATGCCGCTTCTCGGCTCCTCCTTTTACTTTCAGTTCGCCCGGTGAATTCACATAAGGGACTGATCATCCCAGAATTCGGAACCAAGTCATCTCCCTCACTCGAGAGAGGTGACACTCCGGAGACACTGTGTGTGCATACGGCCTTGACCTAATGAATCAAAGAAGACCCCCACTAAGCACAGGACATACTTACAATCTGATACACCACTGTCTGTTTGTCTAACGTAGGGAACCCCTGCAGAATGCCATCAGCCGCTGAGGTGCTAGGAATTTGCATTGTTATGGCAGCAGTGCAGTGCGTGTCTTTCCTTTGGCTAGAGTTGGCATGGCGTACTGCTCTTAAGTGCTCAAACATGGGAAAGATACCCCCCTCTCAGAAGTCCACTCAGATTGCCAAACATAGTGAATCTGTGAGTGATGAGAGCCTGTCACTCCAGGTCCCTGTCTCACAGACAACAGTTGGTGACTTAGGGAGAGAGAGGTCCCACAGTGAAAATGACAAGGTAGCAAACAATGTAGCAATGCCTAGTCAGCCACCCCCCATATACCCGTGGGATGAACTTAGAGGACCTGAAGGCAATAACCCATGTGAGGTCATCCCATCTGCACCCAGTGAGGATCCCCACATTTGTGGCAGTCCCCAGGCACCCAGGCTCTCAGGGCAGCTGCTAGACCCCATCCCACCCGCATGTTTGCCATAAATGTAGGAGTGGATGCAGAATTCAGGCCCTGGATTCCAATGCCTGTAAAAAGGCTTCTGCTAACCAAGGGCCAAGGATATGCTTGTGTCTTTCCAGAGAATGCGGGACAGCCCATTTGGGTACCAGCCAGAAACATCAAGCCTACAACTGTCAGCCAACCAGAACCAGCTGAACAAGACTGAGAGTCTGCCTTGTTAGCGGGTGCACCTGCCCTATCATCCCACCCTGAGAAAGTGCCCATAGCCACATCTGCTACTGCTTTATACCCCACTAGCTCTGGTCAGCCACTCAAACGCCCCACAGCCTGTGTGCAGTCACGCCATTCCTGATTACCGTTGTTCTTCATTCCTATCCCTATCTGAGCAAGCACTCCTGTGGCCTCCCGTTTTGAGCACTGGTTAGTCAATGATGGGTAAGATCCCCTGGGAGACAACCTAAGAGAAGCACAGCCACGTGCAGAGACCACATGGAAATGGGGTCAACAATGGTCTGGCCAAGAATCATGCCTCCCGTTGCTCAAAAATAAATGAAAAGGAAGAAATGTGGTGGAAAGAGAAGGTCATGCCAAGATGGCCGCTGACAACGGAAACTGCCTGGCAACAGGCTGTGATGGGATGGCTTTGGAAACTGCCTGGCAACAGGCTGTGCTTGGTTAGGGCATAGACCGCACCTTGACCAGAATGGCTGCCTTGGCTCTATAAGCTGCTGTAGCAACTGAAATCAACGAGTCTGCAGGCTGCTTGCCTCCGGCCCACTTTCACCCTACTCCTGGGGTCTGTGTGGTGACTCCCTGCCTCTTGCCCCCACCACGCTCCTCCTCCCAGAAACGAATCCACTGCACCACCCAGTCCCTGACAACTACTTTGACCAATGGAGGGGCAGTACCACACTCGTGGCCTACCAGCCCCGATGCCATCAACCAGAGGAGCAGCTGTTAACAGGACCAAAGGACCTGGAGACAGAAAACCAGCTGCCTCCATCGTAAAACTTGAATTCCCAGCCGGTGCCGCAGCTCACTAGGCTAATCCTCCGCCTGCAGCGCTGGCACCCCGGGTTCTAGTCCTGGTCGGGGCGCCGGACTCTGTCCCGGTTGCTCCTCTTCCAGGCCAGCTCTCTGCTGTGGCCAGGGAAGGCAGTGGAGGATGGCCCAAGTGCTTGGGCCCTGCACCCCATGGGAGACCAGGAGAAGCACCTGGCTCCTGGCTTTGGATCAGCGCAGCGTGCCGGCCGCAGTGGCCATTGGGGGTGAACCAATGGTAAAGGAAGACCTTTCTCTCTGTCTCTTTCTCTCCCTGTCCACTCTGCCTGTCAAAAACAAAAAATTTATTTATTTGAAAGGTAGCACACACACACACACACACACACAGAGGGATACAGAGAAGTTTTCCATCTGCTGGTTCACTCCCCAAATGACCAATAAGAGCCAGCTGTGGGCCAGGCTGAAGCCAAGAGTCAGGAACTCCATTCTGGTCTCCCGCATGGGTGCAGGGGCCCAAGGACTTGGACCATCTTCCACTGCTTTCCCAGGCCACAGCAGAGAACTGGATCAAAAGTGGAGCAGCCAGGACTAGAACTGGCACCCACATGGGATGCCGGCACTGCAGGTGGCGGCTTTACCCGCTACACCACAGCGCCAGCCCCCGCACAGAACTTCTTATCTTCATTGTTAAGCCGTGCCTGGCTGTCCGTTCCACTGAACTGTGCACTTTCCAATCATTGAAATGGTAAGTATCCTGTATGTTCCGTCACAAAACGTAAAGGAAAATGACCTGGCCGCTTCCCAGTCTCTCTAGAACCAAATCCACGTGTTGCATCACGGGCAGGTGAGACCCTCTGTCTCCTGTCCCCTCCCCACCAGCTCTCCGCAGTCCCTCAGTCCAGCCACACCTGCACCTGTCCCAAACTCCCCGGGAGCTCCGCACATCCGGCCTCTGCGCCTCCCTTGGAAACGACTCCTGTGCCCAACCTGCCCTTCCAGCCCTGGATCCCCACGGGCTCTCACTGGATCTCGGCTCGGAGGTCTGCTGCTCACCAAGACCGAGCCTACGCCTGCCTCTCCAGCAGCCCTCATGATGTGCAAGCGTTCTGCGCCACCCCTTGTCACACTGCCCGACTCTGGGAAGTCCCGGGAGGCTCCGAGGGAGGGCATCTGGCCTAGCCGTGAAGACGGCGCTGAGGACACGCAGGTGCCCCGGCAAAGGTTGGATCCCCAGCTCCAGTTCCTGACTCCAGCTTCCTGCCGAGGCAGACCCGCCCCTCCACCCCCCACCCCTGCCCCGCCAGGAGGCGACAGATGATGGCTTCAGCTTGGTCCAGTCCTGGCCATCGCAGGCCCGTGGGGAGTAGAACCAGCCGATGGGAGTTCTTTGTGTCTCTCTGCCCCTCGAATAAATACATAAAAATCGTACACGCACCGTCTTGGTTCTTCTCCCTCCCTCCCAGGCGGCACCAGCTCTCTCCGGCTCCTCCTCCTCTTCTGGGACTCACCCTCCCTTTGCGCTGGTCACCCCCTGGCTTTCACAGCCCCCTGTCCTGCTCAGCCCTTGGCCAACAGCGGGGCTCCCCTGCTCCACGTCCCTGGGCGGGAAACCTCTGCAGCTCTCGCTTACTCTCGGCTCACGCTGTCGGTCCCTGAGCCACACAGATGCTAAGCGGGAGACCCTCCTGAGCATGGTTCTTCCCAACGCCAAGGTCACCAGCACCCTTGTTCCCGCTCTCGATGACCTCCACCTGAGAATAGATGCCCAACACACCTGCAGCGTCCTCCCACACTGCTTTGTAAAGACAGCGTCTGCCGGTTCCTGTCTAGCAGCCCCGCTCCCGCTCAACAACTTTCAGTGGCTCCTTAGTGCCCCCCGTTGAGATCTGCACCCTCCCAGATTTTTTTTTAAGATTTATTTATTTATTTATTTAGAAAGATTTTATTTATTTATTTGAGAGAGAAAGTTACAAACAGTGAGAGGGAGAGAGAGAGAGAGAGGTATTCCATCTGCTGGTTCACTCTCCAGATGGCCGCAATGGCCAGAGCTACGCCAGTCAGGAGCCAGGAGTCAGGAGCTTCTTCCCGGTCTCCCATGTGGGTGCAGGGGCCCAAGCACTTGGGCCATCTTCTACTGCTTTCCCAGGTCACAGCAGAGAGCTGGATTGGAAGGGGAGCAGCTGGGATTCGAACCAGACACTGGGGAGTGGAG